CTTTGGCCCGTGAACCGCTCGCACGAGTCACGGGTCGGCCCGCAATCTCGGTTTTCACGGGTCTGGCCGGCCCGTCCGTCTTTGACACCTCTATATCTTCTTTGTCGAGGTGCTGTTTGTGTAGAGATCATAAAGGCAATTGGAGAGAACATTCATGATATTTCCTCTGTTTATCAACTCAGCTTCTTGTCTCTTCTTTCTTTCGGCCCTGTTGCATCAGTGTCATTTGGGGTTGGCTTCGGTAAGGTGTCAAGTCTGGATTCAAAATATTGAAGATCTTTAATATTGTAAGAAAAAACTTCAACTTATCATTTCATCCAGTAAAATTAGTCTCGCCGAATCGTTGAGCCTCACAAACGTCTTGATTAATCATCTTGATAGTAGCCATGGTTGTCTCGTTCTCCATATCAAAACATAATTTGAGATTGTTATACAAAGATTATGAATAAGAAAAATAAATAAAAAAAAGAAAGCAACCTAAAATCTACCAAAAGAAAGGTTTGAACACGATAAAGAATTATTGTCCTCAAACGATATTTGCCGCCACCTAGATGAATGTTTGAAGGCTTCAATGGCAGATAGTTTATAGAAGTAAACAAATATTAAATCCAAGTTCAAATCAAGTAATATAAACTTCAATAAGAACATGAAGAACACTTTCAAGAAATCTAGGTTTTGATATTTGATTTGGATGTAAGTATCTATATTTGATGCTAATGTTTTTTTTTTTTTTTTACAACATGAAAATCATCCAATAGATAGAACATCAAGTCTAATGTACGAATGGGTGCCAAATTCAAACCAAAGAGGTGTCGAAACTATCAAAGCGTCATCAGAAAATTCATATGCAACGATCACGACTTTTGAACAGTATGATCGCCCAGAACAAATTCGGGTGTTAGCCCAGTGTAGCCTCTCGGCTACGATATACTATTAATGAGGCTGGGCGATTTTTTGTCAATCTCCGGTTCTTTCCTCTGGGTGTTTCCACACTTGATATTCTCACATTAATGTTTGATTATTTCAAATCACTTCTCATTATATGTCTGAACAATATTACAACAAATACTATGCGTTATTTCTCAATAAATCTGAACTTGACTATAGAAATCCTTTTAACAAATAGCAGCTTAAGAATTCCTTATGTACTATCTTGCATAATATTTCTGAGAGTTATTACGAGTCCAGAGAAAAAGAAGGTTTAACACCTTTCATCTCCCACCCAATTGTCCTTCTCCTTTGGTCCCGTTGGCCCCTCCTCGCCATAAAGTTCAGTTGGGAAAATTTCGATGAGATTTTCCACCGAAAACCTAATGAAAAATGGAAGGTGTTTGAGTATCTTCTCCACTTCAGATCGTGAATTGTAAACAATAGTCGGACCCCATTCCCTCATATACTGTAACCAATGTGGTTCTGTAAAGTTTTCGTCTCTAAGGTACTCAGCCGCAATAATTTGGTACTTGGTGCTAGAGTCCACGACATACTTGCTCTTACCACAATCATTCCTGACTCCGATTCCAAGTTTCATAGAACCCTGAATATAGCACCCCGGATGTGGGTAACTTGCATGGCCACTCTTTGATGAATATACAATCGGCTTATTTCCCTCAATGAACTCCAACTCACTCGCGTCTAGCCATTCACCACCACTGTGTTCTGAAAAATACGCGCTCCAAAGTTCTCCAGTGAAGTTGCTCAGGCGGAGAGTAAAATGCTCCCAATCGCCAACATGTTGGCCTAATCTGTTAAAAGAATAATTCAGTATCCCTAATTTAAGCGTAGCTGGACCGTTGAATGGGCAAAAGATCCACATGACAATGTCGGTGAAAGTCCCCCCTGAAGCTGGTTTTATGTGAACGTATAACTCTGCGCTTTCAAGGTTGCCACACTTGAGATCATCACTATTTTCATCATTGTCTGGTAAATCAAGCCAGAATTTTCCATCATTCCTCCCTCCACCAGGCAAATTTGAGCCTTTAGAGTCAATGTCTAAACCTTTGTCTCTTCCCTCTTTGTACAGAAGTGCCCCATTTACGAAGAACCATGAAACAGACGAGGGCAAGTAAACTTCGTCTGGATGGAAAAAAACTGTAGGTCCATAGTGCTTAATGAGTGCATGGACTTGATCAAGATTCGGCATTGCATGGAAGGATGAGTCAAGGTTCTTCAAACAAGCAATGNAAAACCTAATGAAAAATGGAAGGTCCATAGTGCTTAAAGAGTGCATGGACTTGATCAAGATTCGGCATTGCATGGAAGGATGCGTCAAGGTTCTTCAAACAAGCAATGTTCAGTTCATCTTCAGAACTCTGGTTTCTACTGCAGAAGAATGTCCCAACAGGAACACCTTTAGAGAACATTCCCCTTTCGCTCGGTCTTGTATTCCAAATTTGGAAATCATCCTTCGATAAGAATGTATTTTTGTCAAATATCACATCACCAGCTTCACAACTTTCAGTGAGATCGACCCGAACACATCTTACTTCTTCAAGATCTGGCTCATCAGACTCAATGGTAACTACAAAACCCATAGATTTGTAACCGACTGGTGCATTTGGGAGCCAAATAAAACCTTGTCCATCATTTCGAGAATCAGCACTCCATACTAAGCTGTAATTAAGAGGCTTTGTAAGGGGAGGAGAGTCTGAAGTTGAACCTCGAATTTGATCACCACAATGCTTGGTGGTAGATATGGCTTTGGCCACGAGGACGTAACCTCTCAACAGCACATCATTCTGTTGACAATAGTGACCGAGGCAGAAATATCCATCTGGAATTTCCACAGGTTTGTAAAAAGAAACACCTTTCTCCTTTCCCCACAGCTTGACATAACTCCATATTTCAGAGAACTTAGTGATTTTAACGACTTCTATTTCTCCTAGGCACATCTTCCCTGTGGCAAAACCTTGACCTGTAAGAGTTAAAACTGAATTAATATCACTGTTGAAACAAATAAGAGCAATTTGATAATCAATAAAANAAACTGAATTAATATCACTGTTGAAACAAATAAGAGCAATTTGATCATCAATAAAACAAGCAGAACCTAAATAAGCGCTGGACACAATTAACTCTAAATTCACATGAAAATTTGCTTATTTCTAGTTCCTTTGGGAAATTGTATAGGAATTAACTTCTTTATAGTCCAACCGCTCTACCAGTCTACATATTTTATCAACTTTTTTAGCTCTCGTGGGTTTTACACATCTACTTTTTGAGGGCTTCAATGAATATAAACAACAGAAAGTACAAGAAATAACTTTGTTCTCTTATGCTCATATAATGGAAGAAGGGGGACGTAAATTTCAATTTGGAAAAAGTAAATGATTATATCCATGAAAGTCCAATCGCATTTTTTCAAAGAATTTGACTAAGTTCCCACAAGGAATGACCAACAAAACACTAATTTCTTGAAATCCAGAAACAGTAATTTTTCGTCAGTCAAACAAATCCTTAATTTTCTTGGTTTATTAGCAGTATATTAGGTAGAACAAATCAAAGTTGCTTAAAGATTACTGGAATAGTATTTCTTGGTAGAACCCAATTGTTGAATATTCTTGTACACTATTCAGATAATAACAAACACCTCTCCCCCTACCCTACCCTACACCACCTAACCCACCCCCATATAAAAAGAAAAAAAAAAGCCCATTATTCCACCTTATAACTAGGGGAATAACAATTTTCCGAAGAATGTTTGATTAAAAAAAGTGGATTTTTTTTTTTATTTACGTGTAATTGTATTGGTAAGCATATGATTGATAAGAAGATTGAAAAAAAAAAATGAATTATAATTTAATGGAATCAGAGCTAAAACAAGATATATGAAGGGCAAGAGTTTTTCCCCTCAAAATAAGTTCTGAATTGTTTCAAGATTAGTAATCTACACCTTATAGTCAGCGCAAAAAAGAAGAAGCTTAGGCCAAGAACAGATTCTGGATAAAACTAAAAGGGTTATTAAAAAAGAGAA